ACTGGAAGAATGAGGCGATTGGGTGGGAGCCTGCATTTGAGGAGTACGGTGTGGCGAGGTAGAATGCAAGGCATGCATGTACCGGCATGGTGGCTTTTTTCTGAAAACTAGGCCCAGCATGTGCTAGAGCGTTCGAATGTTAATCTTTTCTCCTTCCATGTTGTTTTGAAATTTGAGATAGTTATTTAAAAGGCTTTGCCTGATCTCTTGGACACTTTCTGTGCTCAGAGAGGGCTTTGTTTCTGGAAGTGGGTCTGCCTTTCACAGGCTATCGGGAGGGGAAGGTGATCTGATTTTTTTTTACTGGGTCACCCACAATGGTCAGTTCCACATGTCATGTCGTTGCATCCGAGCGATGGAAGCTGTTGTCTGGAATGCAGGCAGGAATCAGTGTTGTCTTATCATTGATCCTACATTACTATTATTGATTTATTATTTGTATTCAAGTTGCACCTACAGGTCACAGCCAAGATCTGACACAAGTTGTGCCAGGTGCTGTACAAACCATAGTGACAGTACCTCCCAGATAAACTGCTATTGAAATACAAGACAGACAAAGGGTGGGATGGGCAACAGAGGCATGGAGGTCAGTGGCAGAACTAGGAACAGAACCCAGGTCTCGAGTCCCAGTCCCGTGCTCTATCCACTGGAATATGCTGAGTCTCCTAAGAATGCCATTGATTATGAATGAGTGTTGAGCAACTGGCAATTCCACATCTGTTCCTCCTAAAAAATTGTCTTACAGGTGAGGTTTGAGTTAAGAGAACAAAGCAGGAAAATATTTGCTCAGAGGATCCTATAAAAAATTCTATAATGAGGAGGGTATGGGGAATATGTGTATGTGAAAGGACACATCTGTAAGTTTCTGGAATTGCTCTTCATTCATATCATTAGATCAAAGCACAAGTGAATCACAGTATTAATTTGATGCTTGTGGTAAATGTTGGGTTGAATTAGACACTTCCCCAAAAAACTGTAAATGCAATTTAGCTTTTGCTTACAGACAAGTCATGGAAATAATCCTCTGTTCAGTGCCAGGATAGCGTGGAGATGAATGTCGGAGCAGAGAGCATACAGATGCTTGTGGCCTGTTATGTTGAGAATGTCAGTGTTGCTCAGTGGAGATGTGTTAGACTGTGGAGTAGTCTCCTAAGGAAGTGGGGGAAGTCCTATAGCTTGGGAATTTTACAAGAGATGGAACAAAACTCTAGAAAATATGCTGTAGGGAAGGTTTCTCCATTGGCTCCTAGAGATGGATTGGATGGGCCAAATAGGTTTCTTCTGTCCGTCCATCTGTGCTAGCCAAAAGCTGGGAATGGACAACAGGGATGGGTCATTTGATAAATTGCCCTGTTCTGTTCATTCCCTTGGAAGCATCTGGCACCGGCTGCTGTTGGAAGACAGGATACTGGGCTGGATGGATCATCGGTCTGACCCAATATGGCCATTCTTATGTTCTCATCTATACAGGTACTTTTATGGCCCTGGTTACAACAGCAGTTGAGCATCTCAAATATGTATAGATTGATCTCATCACAAAGGAGTACGTGTCAGAGCCAGGAATTCACCTAGCTATCCCAAGTTCCAGTCCAGTTCCTTACCCCCAAGGCCATTCTTCTAGGTCTATTGTCTGTGATTCTCACTCCAGCATTTTTCAGAACTCAGGCTTGATCCTGCAAGACTGCTGTATTCAGGACTCCCACTGAAGTCAATGGGAGTTCTGCACACAGAAGGTCTGCAGAATCAAGTCTTTGCTGAGGATGCTAATCTTTAGGTTCTGTGGGAAAAGAGGCTTCCCTATCAGTGGAGTGAGCACAGTACACAGAATACAGTGGAATTGGTCTAGGGAGTTTTGCTTTAAAGTAGCCATAGAAAAATACCTGGTTACTATGCATGTCTGTTCCTGAGGGGGCTGATCCTGTTCCTTCCAATGCCAGCACTGCATGGGATTGGGCCCTAGGTTTTTTCTGAGCTATATCTGCTTAGTTGCCTGGCAAAAGCAAGTATTTTTACTCCTTCCTGCACTGCAGAGCCAGCCTAACTGCAGAGAGGCAGGCTGTATCCTATTGTACCTCGCACATCATCCACCAAATTGCCAGCTGAATCATGATCCCAGGATTTTTATCGTTGCTGAAGGTTGGTGATGATGCAGAAAGAACATAGCTTTGTTTTCAGCTGTCAGGCAGAGTTTGCAACTCTGGCACTTGGGGAGAATCTTGCAAATGATGCAAATTTGATAGAAGAGTCACTGAGGAAGGGATTGTGACACCAGAGAGATTCTGTATTTAGAGTCGTTTTCTGATAGCCACAAGGAGTTCTTTTGATTAGTAGCTATTCATAAATTGCAATGAGCAACAGTAAATTGTGCTGGTGAAGGAGGCATGCATGTCTGCAGCTTGCCCTTCCAAATTATTTGTCCCCCTGATGTTCCAAGACTCCCAGTCTCTATTTTGCTTCTTATGCAGCCGTCGATTTCCCCCACCTGTGTTCTACCCTTTTAAAAAATTGTCCTTTATTCTTTCCATTGAAATGTAGCAGTGATGCTCTAAACGAATCCCAGAATCCTTAGTGCAAGTTCCAAAGAAGATGCACAGCAACCAGTGTCTAGTGATTGTGATGCACATGGGAGGATGTGAATTCTCTGACTTCCACCAGGAAGAGCTACAAGAGCAAAGACACTCCCTGCCCCCAAAAGTTTACAATCTAAAATGTCCCTTTCTTCCATTTGCTAAATAGCACCGGAAGAACGAAGTAATGCTATTGCTAAGTAAAGTACAGTTGTCCCTTCTAGGTATTACTGTCTTGGACAAAGCCAGTGTCCCTTTCTTGCTTCTGTTGCATGAAAAATTATTCCACCCTAAGCAAAACTTGAGATCTATTTAGGGATTTTACACTAGATCTATTCAAAGTTTTTTATAGCTCACGGAAAGGGGTAAGGGGGTTAGAATAGGTTTTGGATGCCTGTCTGGAGTGTCCCATTGGTAACCAAGTTCTTTATCATGAGACTGTATTACAGCTGTGTGAACAACTGAGGGAACCGGGATTGTAAAGGGTGAGATGTCTGTTCCATAAAGTTCTCATCCCACTCCTTATGGGGATTATAGATGGTGGATTTGGGAAGGACCTCCTAGGATACCTAGTTAGTCCATGTCTGGGATATGTCTCTGTACTAAACTCCTATGTCTTTAATCTGGTCTATTCTTGAATGTTTCTGATAAGTATCCCAACATTCTTTGAGTCCCTAGCAAAGGAATCCAACAGCAGAGCCTTGCTGTTGGAGACGTGTAGCTAATTTGCCATTTGCCTACTTTGAGACACTTCTGCTTTTCTGAATATTGTTGGTCTCTCTGTACTTTCCATCTATACAGTCCTTTCTAATTGGGCGTGGTCTGTGCATTTGAGGCCTTGTCCCACCATCTGCTTTGACACCAGCTCTGACATCCATTGACACCTAGCCCTCTGGGGAGCATTCAGGCTTTAGGGATCAGACCTGTAGATAAGGTGCAACTAACTAACTTCTTCCCAACTTGGAACCTTACCATTTCTCATCCCTCTCTTTGCCCCTTCACTGGCTTCCCTTGGCCCTCTACCTTACATGAGAGCTCCTTGTGCCTTCTTCAAAGCCATACCCAGTCTAACTCCCACCTGCCTCTCTGTTCTCTTCTCTATTGCACTCAAGCCACATGACTAGCCATCCTCGTAGTTTCGTACTCCTGCTCCTGGTAGTTCCCTAGCCTGGAACATCTCCTCCCTGACTATGGAGCTAGAGCTTATATGGCCTCCATCACTGTAGTGTCTGAGCACCTCACCATCATTTACAGTATTTATCCTCACAACTCCCCTGTGAAATAGGGAGGTGCTATTATCCACATGTGGCACTGCTCACGCAGGGAGTATGAGGCAGTGCCAAGAATTGAACCCAGCGCTCCTGATTCCAGTCCAGTGCCTTAATCACAAAATAATCCTTCTGATCCATCTCCATACTCTCCTCTTTCAAACCCCTCCTCAAAACTCCCTTCATTCCCAAGGCCAGTCAGCTCCTGACTCAGCCACAGGGGTTGTGACGAGAGTGCCAGGGGAGAGTAACCAAATAAACTTGAAACCACCTCACTTTCGTGGCTGACTTACTGTAGTCACTTGCCTTGTCCCATTCCACCCCCCCCCCCCCATTGTCTGATAACAGACGATAAACTCTTTGGAGTAAGGCTCTTGTCTGATTATTGGCTTGTAAAGCAGCTAGCATCCTTGGAGTCTAGTTCAGTAATGAGGTCTGCCACCCAGATTTTAAACTGAGCCATAATACTCAAAATAAAACTCTCACACACAGCTCTGACTTTTCTCTCTCTCACGCAGGGCTATGTTGAAAACTTTACTCAAACCTAGTGGCCTGCTTTCTAGAGGTGCTGGGTACCGGCAGCTCCCATTCAACTCCGTCCCAGGCGCTTGGCACTTCTGCAAATCAGGCCACCTATACATCATAGCTACGTCTTTGTCTTCTGAGCCTGTGCTGCTTGTGTCAAAGCAGGCTATCTGGTTTCTTCCGGCACAGTCTGTTCTTTGTGAACTCCTGCTGCCGATTGCTCATCGAGATGTTGTCAGATCTTACAGATCAATTATTTGCTCAAACATTTTAGCCCATACTAAGGCTGAGCTGACTAGTCCTCTTTCAAAAGCTTGATGTTTTTCAGTCCTCTTTAAAATGGTGTGAGTGGTTCCTCAATTTCCTCTGAACCCAGGGAGGAGAGGATGGGGTGATCTAGCTAATACAGACATTTTCCTACAATTGGAAATGGCGTTTTCTTTTCTCACATTGCTTCCCCTTCTATACAGTGAAAGGGGCACAGATCAAAATACGGAAGTCACTTCAGTGCTTTCAGTTTGTTGCTTCACTGGGACAATGGATATTAAACAATAGTCAATGTTTTGTTGCTAATCAGTAGCTTTTCAGTGGTAAAAAGTTGGTTCTTTTCAACTAAAACATGTCCTTTCCCTTACTGCAGAGAAAACAGCTGATGATGACGTCCAGAAGTCTGACATCTCATCCAGCAGCCAAGGAGTGATCGAAAAGGAATCTCTGGGACCTCTTCTCCTGGAAGTAGGTGCTCTATTACAATCAGTAACACCACCAGTCTTTTCGTATTTGAAATCTGAGGTCGTTTTAATTAATTGCTGACTAAGAAAGTAAAATACAGAATAGTAGGAAAACACAGTCCCAATCAGGTTGTTCCAAGGCTAGATTATCCCTCGCTAAAGCTGCGGGTAGCCCACTTTTGTCCCCCTGTTCAGCTTATCCCTTAAGCATGGGAATCCTAGCCCTATCAGCAACGCACTTAAGCACATGCTTAAGTCCCACTGAAATTAAAGCAACTGAAGCATGCGCTTAAGTGCTTTGCATGAATCAGAGCCATAGTGAGCAACGTCTTAATACTGGTATAAAGGTGCCATACTGATGCCTGCCCACCTCTGTGTAGTTATTTCATTCTTTCCACTTAGCCTGAGTAGCATTGTGGGGGAACACAGTATGACTGAGAAGCCATCGTTCAACTGAGCAAGTTGAAAGCAGTCTGCTTTGGGAGAAAACTTCACTTTCAACCACACTGACCTAAGTCACCGGTTAGACAGGTTGTCTTGTTAACTGCCAGGGGTGCTGAAGACTTGCTAGCCCTTTCTGGCATCAGCGTTCTTAGATGTGTGCTAGTAAACTTCCTCCTCCCAGCCAAGGCATGAGAAAACAAGAGTTAAAGGCAGGAAGAATGAATACTGAGTGCAAAGCAGTGAATTGTAGTGGGCCATTAAAATGCAACAGCATTAAATAGTCCCATTTTGAGGGCATCAGGAGCAACCAGATCATTTAGTCTGACCATCTGTATAACACATGCCAATAAACGCCACCCAGCCGCTTCCACGCCAACTCCAACAACCAGAATTAGACTTGAGTATTACAGCCTTCAGGAGGCTAAACTGTTGCGTGCCATGGCAGAGAACAGACGAGACCTGTTGAGTTTAGTGTGTGGATGCCAGTGGTCTGGGATAGTCAGGAGGTCAGTCTATATCAGTGGTTTTCAACCTGTGGTCCACTATGTCTAAAATTTCCAAAGGGGTCTGCACCTCAATTCAAAATTTTTTAGGGGTCCGCAAATGGAAAAAGGGTGAAAACCTCTGGCCTAGCTGATCTGGTGGTCTCTTCTGGCCTTAAACACTGACTATGACCAACGGAACCAATGCCTGGGGCCTTTCTGTGACAGGGAAGTAAGTGAGATATACCACAGTGATCCTAGCAAATGACCTACACTTTGTGCTGCAGAGGGGAAGGTGGGGGCTGTGCTAACTAGATCTGTGTAACATGAAATATAGTGAAGTGTGATGGTATGGGACTGACAAAAAGCTCTTTTCTTGGCATGAAGTGGATGCAATTGCCAAAGTGGTTCTTATGTTTTTACTAATTGATAAAGAGACATATTGGCTACTGTAAAGGGCTGACAGTGCTAAATCATTTGCCCATGTCTGCTTACTAGCAGGAGAATCTGGGGCAATAGGAGCACTTTTATAGCAAATGAAGCTACTGAGGAATGATCAAAGGTTCACTACAGACAAAATTAATGCCTAGGTGAGAACGTATTTGAACTGAAAGGAAGGATCTGATTTGTGAAGAGAATTAAAGCCATCTGCCTGAAATATGTGGCCAGAGCTAACTGAGAGTTGTCTGCTCAGCAAAGGAGGTGCTGTCTAAAGGAAGCAAAAAAGCAGAAGTGGCATTAGAGAGAAAACAGCATTGAACAATGGAAACAGTGAGTGAGAAGAGTAAAAAAATATAAAAAAGGGGGGGGGGGGCAAGATTGTTCTGAGAAAGGTGGCAGTTCCTCAAGAGTAATATAGAGCTTGGGCTACAATAAGAGAGTTGTGCATCCTGCTAGAGTAATGGAGGATTGAACTCTACAACCGGAAGAAGCCAGAGGAGGTGACTTTCCAGGAGAGTGGGCTGCCTAAGAGGCATCAATAAATTTGCAGCATTCCCAAAATTTTGTAGAGCAACCCCTGGAAAGTCACCCCTGGATGTAGCTCTCATAAATTGGAAATCAGGGGTCAATTTAAGACCCTAGTACAGTTTAAGAAGACTTTTATTCCAGAGCTGCTAGGCCTAGCCAATAGCTCTCTATAGGGGTTGAAAAAATTGGGTGCTTATCTGGGATGGGGAGTTAATTAGATCAGCTTGCCCATGGCTGAGAATACGGCGCCATGCTCAGAGTTTAGCATTAATAGGTCATTCCTGCAGGGAATTAAAACAAAGGTGTGTTGTGGCTCTGTTAAGTTCTGCTTTGTGAAGAATTCATTATACACAGTGTGCTAAAAATATCTAACAGTTATGCAGACGGAAGGATAGTTTTGTAACTTGAGATCCCATACAACCAACATGCAAAACACTAATAGATGGGTGAATTGCTCATGGGTAAGTTGAGATCCCATACAACCAACATGCAAAACACTAATAGATGGGTGAAAAGCTGCCTTCTGACACCAGACCTCCAACACCATTAATTTGGTAATTTACATTGACCCTAGCCAATGCACGTTGAGGTCACGGAGGCTACATGCTGTTATTTACATGTATCATCAACATAAGTCAAATCACATATTTATCTCTGGCTTCCAGAGCCAGTATCAGATTGTATTTGTATTCTATCCCTGGGCGCCTTTAACGTTCACTTAGGTCTGGCTCCTGCGCAGTGCGTCTGTGGAGTGTTGCAAGGATAAGAGCAAGGTGGTGAGCAGGACCAAGAGAGCAGGGAATCTTTTTGCTGCATTAATCTGAGTGCCAGCTTACTCCTTCCTAGTAGCAGGTTTGAGGCCTAAGAGGGGAAGCATGTAGCTTATCCCTCATTAACCCGAGGATCCTTGCACTTCAACCCAGGTTCTCCCAGACACACCCTGTCCCCTTTCATATCCTACCGTACCTTGTGTTCCTGTGATTAAGAGAGCAGGTATTCAGAGGGCTTGAGAGCTTCAGTGTAGAGCGGGGGTTCTCAAACTGGGGGTTGGGACCCCTCAGGGGGTCACGAGGTTATTACGTGGGGGGGGGTGTGTCGTGAGCTGTCAACCTCCACCCCAAAGTTTGAGAGCCGCTGGTGTAGAGGATGATGCCTAAAGTGGAACCTTACATGTGCCCCTATCTATCTGCCATTTGCACTTGGGCTGGAGTGCAGCAGTTATGGTGCATCATCTAAGGGCTTGCAGGATCAAGGCTTTAATACTTAAGAAGATGCCTGGATGTGTAGCTCGAATTTCTTTTCAATATATTCAGCACATTGGCATCCCTCACCCCCGTCAGGGGCCAAGCATCACCTGTCTTGCAGCACTAGGGTTTGTAAGTTGGGGTAATGCTCATGCTGTTAGCCGCTCAGAGAGAGGTTTTTCTGGTAAGGTGAGGGTAGGGGCTGTGGCTGCACTAGGGGGTGAGGAGTGCTAGATATTCCTGCCACAAGGCTGTAGCAAAGCAAATTCCTCCCCTCCTGTCCTCAGACTACTCCTTTTAGAGGTGTTAGGCCCTTTCCTGCCTCCAGGCACTGCAGAGAGGAGAGGACAGGAGCAAAGACTCCTTCTCTCCAACCCAGCATAGCTTAGGCCCATGAGATCTATTAATGGGACTTTTTTTTTTTAGAGTCCTTTACAAACGTTAACTAATGCCTATAGCCCACCCTGTGAGGTAGCTGAATGTTGCAACCTCTGTTTTACACATGGGGAAACAGAGGCACGGGGCATTGTGAGAACATATTAGTTAATTTTTGTGAAGCACTCTGGAAACACTCCCCATCTGTGCTCAGTAGTTATTAGTATTATTAATGGGACTGTTTTGGTGCTCCCAATAAATGATCTCGCTGAGGAATGGCTTCAGATCCTGCTTATATTGAGGCAACTATGAAGAGTTTAGTTTTCTGTCACAACTGACCAGGAGAAGCAGTTTTAGGTTCCAGTAGGTTCCTAAGCAGCATTCAGATTCAGCCGTCTGAAAATGTTCCTGAGGTGACTCCCATCCCCACCTGCTTGTCCTTTGCTGTTTCTTTTAACTCTTGGGATACAAGAGCTTGCTGCTCAGAAGGACCCAAATCCTAGCTATTATGCCCCAAAGTAAAGAGATCTATTTACTGTAACTTGCATGCTTAAGCAAATGTACTGATATTTGATCCTCAGCAAAGGAGCCACAGAATTCGTGACATACTTAATTACCATTAGAGTCCTTTAGCTAATCACAACACAGATCATCTTTGTGGTTATTCCTTCCTTACTGCCGGTTGTGCTTTAGGTAATCTGTGCTCTTGGGTCAGCTCACCAGACACCACCTGTAGACAGCAAGGAGCCTTCTATGCACCTAAAAGAGGATGAAGAACAGCCCATTACTGGAGGGGGGGATCAAAGCAAAATGAAAGGACAGTGCAAACAGAGAAAATTTGTAATTATGTCAGACCACTTGAAGTGATCTATTATCTCTATTATGGTAGTGAGATCAGGGTCCCATTGTGCTAGGAGCTGTACAAACCCAAAATGAGAGAGAGTTCCTGCTTTAAAGAGAAGGACTTGCGTGTCCACTATTAAAGTCATTCAGAGTTGCAGGCACTCAGCTACTGTAGTGATGAGGGCCATGGAAATACTAAAATAGGCTATGCATCAGGATTGGGAACCATGGGGTCATCTGCATGCTATGTTTTGATTTCCATTCTATATTAATGGCCACAATCCCTTTCTGTCATCTCACAAACCTTTTGCTGCATTCCTAGACCTTCTGAGCTGGGTACCAGATCAGTTGCCACTTACCTGGACTTCTTCCATTAAGGAGTTAACTTGCTACTGTGCAGCATGTTCACTAGAAGACCGCACCAGTGTAGGTTTTAAATGTTGATATTCCTGATCTTCTCCACAGAACATAATGCTTGGGCTAGTGACATCTTAATGGGTAGTCTTTGTGTTCTAGGATTGTCTTGGGGCTAAATTGCAAGGACTAGGAGTCAGCAGATCTGGGTTGTAATTTCCCGCTTTGCTATGGATGGACTTCCTGTGCCCCTTTGGGAAAATCTCTCTGTAATTCTGTTTTCCTGTGGGGGATAATACGATTTCCCTGCTTCACAAACTATTAGCTCATTAATGTTTGTTAAAGCACTTTTACAGCCTCAAATAGAAGTGGCTACAGAGACAAATTATTTATTGGTTAGGTTTTCTGCTGTTTGGGACCAGATCCATCCCTCGTCATGGTTCACAAGCTCCACGATCAGCAGTGCTGATACACCAAGTATTTGTAAACCCCACAGTAGCATTTGCTCAGTCTTGCTAAGTTAGGAGTGAGTTCTGTTACCCCACATGAGTTTTAGTTCAGTAGCCTCTTCCTTCTGCAAAGCACCCTGGAGTACTGTGTGCAGAGAGCACTAGTTAGAAACCTTGTCTTGTACTTTCCTGCAGGGCTTGGATCCAAGGCCCCCCTGCTTTCTTAGTTTCCCTCAAAAAAAATTTTAGTGTTTTATTGGCCTCTGATTAGGATGCTCACAAGAGAGGCCTGGGCTCCTCTCCTAATTTCCGGAAATGGATTATTCAGCACCAGTTACATGCTGGTTAGACATCAGTCCGACTGTGTTAATGGAGCCGTGATTGATTTACACCCAAGCTCAAACCATTTGTTAGGTGCTGATTCATTCTGTTTCTTTAGCTGCTCTTATTTCCCATCTGTTTTATTCATGCTATTCTTTACTAAATACTTTAGAATAACCGGATCAGCTTTGTTACTGGGTGTGTGATGGGGGGTGGATGGAGGAAATATCACGATGTACTTGAAAAGGAGGGCAGTTAGGGAGTAAAGTTTAATGCAGGGCTCTTGGACAAACCCATTTGACTCTTCTACAGGAGTCTGTTTCTTCTGTGGGAGCATGAAGTGCAAAATCTGGTTGCTTGGCAACAGGCAACAGCTGTGAAAAAGGAAAATTGTGGTTGATCTGCCAGAGCAAATTTTGACAGAGTTTCTTTTAAAAAAAAAAAAAAAAAAAAAAAGTCTTCCTGTTCTTGCATGTTGCTCTATGGCAAACCTGATTTCCAGAAAATGTATTAAATGGAAATCAGAGACTGTGTAGCAACATAACTCACTTCAGGCTTCACAAGACAATAAAATTATACGGCATATGTTTGGTGGAGAAAGGGGTTAGAATGTTGCTGCATATAGGGGAGGGGAGGTGTATGTAAAATATAAAATCCTGGTTTTGTCCAGGGAGGGATAGCTTGGGGGGGGGATAGCTCAGTGGTTTGAGCATTGGCCTGCTAAACCCAGGGTTGTGAGTTCAATCCTTGAGGGGGCCATTTAGGGATGGGGCAAAAATTGGGGATTGGTCCTGCTTTGAGCAGGGGGTTGGACTAGATGACCTCCCGAGGTCCCTTCCAAGCCTCATATTCTATGATTCTGTGAATAGAAGTCCCGGATTCTACAGTCTGATCCCTGGACTTATGTGCCGTGTGCAGTGCTATGGCTCCCCACCAGCACCAGGGGGCTGCCCACATGGATTCAGTTGCAGGATCAGGGCTTGTGTTAGGGCGCTAGCTGTTAATTACTAAAGATGGCATTAACTTAGGCTCCAGGTAGGTAAAAATCAAATCCTACTGACATTTAGCACCTCTAAATTATCAATCTGCCTCTCCCAGGGCTTCTTCCAGAAACAGTGGAGTCTCCTACCTTGGGCGTTTCCATGTTGGTAGAAAGAGTTTCCCCCTCATGAACAGTACCAAAGGAGTAAATAAGGACTTGACCCTGGTCCCATTAAACTCAATGGCAAAACTCCCACTGGTTTTAATAGTGCAAGATTGGCCCCCTGTTTGCAGATATTCTATTTCACTGTGGTTGCAGGGCTTGGGCTGGATTTGCCAGTTGTTTCCCAGGAACATGAAAAATGTGTTAGTCTGCAAGATGCTGAATACCTTTTAGTTCTCAGGCCCTGATTCAGCAAAGCAAGCATGTGCTTGACCTGCATGCTTTACTGAATCAGGGCCTCACTGACAATCTGACTCTTCAAAGAGGATTGTTTGCTACTAGCTATTATGCCCCAAAGTAAAGAGATCTATTTACTGTAGCTGGCAGAGCCATAGTACACGCTTCAGCAAATGTACTGATATTTGATCCTCAGCAAAGGAGCCACAGAGTTTGTGAAATATTTCATTACAAGTCGAGCCCTTTGGCTTCTACACTTAGATCTTCTTTGTGGTTATTCCTTTCTTACCGTCAAGTAGATATAGCTGGTCATGCTTTAGATAATCTGTGCTCTTGGGTCAGCTCACCAGACACCACCCACAGACAGCAAGGAGCCTTCCACACACCTAAAAGAGGATGAACAACAACCCATTATCAGGGGTGGGGGGAAAGCAAAATGAAGGGACAGTGCAAGCAGAGCAAAATGTTAATTATGTCAGACCACTTGAAGTGATCTATTATCTCTATTACGGTAGTGAGATCAGGGTCCCATTGTGCTAGGTGCTGTACAAACCCAAAATGAGAGAGTGTCCCTGCTTTGAAGAGTTTATAGTCTAAATAGACAAGAGCGGGAGGGGGAAACAGTTGCAGAGAAGCAAAGTTACCTGCCCAGGCTTACAGAGCAGGTCAGTGGAATAGAACCCTGGTCTCCTGACTCCCAATCCAGCGCTTTACCTTCTGGAGCATGCTGCTCTTGCACTGACTGCATTTTTATTTCCTCTGGACATTGCAGGCGCTGGATGGCTTTTTCTTCGTTGTGAATCGTGAGGGGAGGATTGTGTTTGTGTCCGAGAATGTGACCAGCTACCTGGGTTATAACCAGGAGGAGCTCATGAATACCAGTGTCTACAGCATCCTGCATGTAGGGGATCATGCGGAGTTTGTCAAGAATTTGCTGCCAAAGTCTCTAGGTAAGAAGCGGATGGGTTTTTCCTTCTTTATTTCAAAGAAAAATGGGATTTGCGCCATGTTTTCCTGATGAAGCAACTAAACAGCTGGTGTCAGATTGTTAATGGCCTGTCCATGTGTTTATAACACAACAGTCACTGTGTTACCTAAAGTGGAGAAGTGTAACCTCTCTGTGCTTTGGAGTCTTGTGTTGTGAGACTAGATGCATTAATATATATATATAGCACTCTGAGATCTTCAGATGCAAGCCATTGTAGAATTGCAAAGTGCTGAAATCATATCAGATGTTTACAATATTTATTTTTTGGCATTTGAAGAACAGTGTGTAAAACGCTGTTGTTCTTACAATTAAGTTAATTCTGTAATGACTGAGATTTTGGTATACCTAACTGCAGACTGGAATTTGGAGAGCTGTACAAACCAGTTAACTACATAAAGAAATAAAGCAGGTGTATATTTCTGTCCCAGCTCTCAGGGTCTGATCCATCAACTTTTGCACAATCAGAGTCTCCCTCCTATAATAGAAATTCATATTAACTTTTTGTAAAGAATGTTCTTCCTGTTGGCTGTCAGAGCCTTTTCTCTCTGCTGTCTGCTACTGATGCAACTTCTGCATAGATCAGAATAGCTCATGGGTTGTGGAACAACAAAACTTTCTGGGGCTTTGTGTGTTAAATAAATTGTCTATCGGGAGTTGAGTGCATGCAGTGCACACTTGAGAACACTAGAGGGCAGTGTGAGAAGGTCATCTGGAGAGCGAATAACTGGAGGACATTTGGGTTTTGAGGGCTAGTGTAAAGAATCCTGTTTAATCCTGTCGACTGCCTGCTCACTTGCCAAAATGCCTGTCGCTTAATCTGTATTTAAGCTCATTTTTAAAATAATATGCTTACTCTATGTGCAATCATGTAACTCCTAGTAAGAACCTCTATTGGCTACTCAGCCAGAAACCTCAACTAACTTTATTAAACACACAGCTTAAAAAGCATTGACTTTAAAGGCATGTTGTTAAAGCAGATATGCTAAAAATGTGCCCTGCCTCTTGAATTCTGGGGCTTTTTGGTAGGTTTCAGGCACGTGGCAACAAACACAAAGAATAAGCTATGTTTTGGTTTGTTGTAGGATCAGTACACAGTTGGTTTTAGTCAAATGAATTGTTGCAGCCCTCAGATCAATGTCTTGTTCAAGGTAGGTCAAGTCTGTGGCCTATCCACCTTGCCCACATTCTGCTGTTTTGATAATATAATGTCTAGTTGGCAGCCGGTATCAAGCGGAGTGCCCCAGGGGTCGGTCCGGGGGCCGGTTTTGTTCAACATCTTCATTAATGATCTGGAGATGGGACGGATTGCACCCTCAGCAAGTTCGCAGATGACATTAAACTGGGGGGAGAGGTAGAGACCCTGTAGGGTAGCAATGACCTAGATAAATTGGAGGATTGGGCCAAAAGAAATCTGGTGAAGTTCAACAAGGACAAGTGCAGAGTCCTGCACTTAGGACGAAAGAATCCCATGCACTGCTACAGGCTGGGGACCAACTGGCTAAGCGGCAGTTTTGCAGAAAAGGACCTGGGGATTACAGTGGATGAGAAGCTGTATATGAGTCAACAGTGTGCTCTTGTTGCCAAGAAGGCTAACGGCATATTGGGCTGCATTAGTAGGAGCATTGCCAGCAGATTGGGGGAAGTGATTATTCCCCTTTATTCGGCACTGGTGAGGCCTCATCTGGAGTATTGTGTCCAGTTTTGGGTGCCCCACTACAGAAAGGATGTGGACAAATTGGAGAGAGTTCAGCAGAGGACAATGGAAATTATTAGGGGGCTGGGGCCCATGACTTATGAGGAGAGGCTGAGGGAACTGGGCTTATTTAATCTGCAGAAGAAAAGAATGAGGGGAGATTTGATAGCAGACTTCAACTACCTGAAGGAGGGTTCCAAAGAGGATGGAGCTCAGCTGTTCTCAGTGGTGACAGATGACCGAACAAAGAGCAATGGTCTCAAGTTGCACTGTGGGAGGTCTAGGTTGGATATTAGGAAACACTATTTCACTAGGAGGGTGGTGAAGCACTGGAATGGGTTACCTAGGGAGGTGGTGGAATCTCCATCCTTGGAGGTTTTTAAGGCCCAGCTTGACAAAGCCCTGGCTGGGATGATTTAGTTGGTGTTGGTCCTGCTTTGAGCAGGGGGTTGGACTAGATGACCTCCTGAGGTCTCTTCCAACCCATATCTTCTATGATTCTATATCAGAATTAGGGCCTATTAGATAAACCCTTATAAATTCACAGACCACTGGCCTGAACAACTGTTGGAGCCAATACTGTCTTTCAGGTCCACACAGTTGTCTGTTCATGCTAAACAGTGTGGAATTCATGTTCTGTAGCAAAAATACCTCAGAGTGCCAAGCAGTGTATTTGAAACAAAGGATGAATTTGAGAGGGTTGGTTGGGCCTCAGGAAGGTCTTTCCCATTTTCTTCTCCCACCCCTTGGTATTTTCCCCAAGGCCCAGGGAGATTGTGTATAGCCTCTTAATAACTCAGCAAGCATCTGCCAGAGGGGGTGCCAGAAGAGGGCTTGTCTTCACTAATGAGTTAACAGGAGTTATAGCTCCATTGTTCCTGTTAGCTCAACTCCCATCAACACACACAAACCTGTCACTCGTGTAGTGGTGGTAATAAGGTGAGTTGGCTGTCAAGTCTTGGGGTATAGGGCAGACCTCAAATGAGCTTCACTCTAGAGCTGCTGACTCAAGTTATCAGCATGTGGAAGCAGGCGTAGAGACTAAGGCATTGTCTGCTAACATAATGACAGGTTTCAGAGGAACAGCCGTGTTAGTCTGTATTCGCAAAAAGAAAAGGAGTACTTGTGGCACCTTAGAGACTAACCAATTTATTTGAGCATGAGCTTTCGTGAGCTACAGCTCACTTCATCAGATGTATACCGTGGAAACTGCAGCAGACTTTACATACACACAGAGAATATGAAACAATACCTCCTCCCACCCCACTGTGTGCCCACATATCTATTCAGGGGACACCATCACAGGGCCTAATAACATCAGCCACACTATCAGAGGCTCGTTCACCTGCACATCCACCAATGTGATATATGCCATCATGTGCCAGCAATGCCCCTCTGCCATGTACATTGGTCAAACTGGACAGTCTCTACGTAAAAGAATAAATGGACACAAATCAGATGTCAAGAGTTATAACATACATAAACCAGTCGGAGAACACTTCAATCTCTCTGGTCACGCAATCACAGACATGAAGGTCGCTATCTTAAAACAAAAAAACTTCAAATCCAGACTCCAGCGAGAAACTGCTGAATTGGAATTCATTTGCAAATTGGATACTATTAATTTAGGCTTAAATAGAGACTGGGAGTGGCTAAGTCATTATGCAAGGTAGCCTGTTTCCTCTTGTTTTTTCCTACCCCCCCCCCCCCCAGATGTTCTGGTTTAACTTGGATTTAAACTTGGAGAGTGGTCAGTTTAGATGAGCTATTACCAGCAGGAGAGTGAGTTTGTGTGTGTATGGGGGTGGGGGGGGATGTGAGAAAACCTGGATCTATGCAGGAAATAGCCCGACTTGATTATGTAAAGAGTTGTCACTTTGGATGGGCTAGCACCAGCAGGAGAGTGAATTTGTGTGGGGGGGTGGAGGGTGAGAAAACCTGGATTTGTGCTGGAAATGGCCCACCTGTTGATCACTTTAGATAAGCTATTACCAGCAGGACAGTGGGGTGGGAGGAGGTATTGTTTCATATTCTCTGTGTGTATATAAAGTCTGCTGCAGTTTCCACGGTATACATCTGATGAAGTGAGCTGTAGCTCACGAAAGCTCATGCTCAAATAAATTGGTTAGTCTCTAAGGTGCCACAAGTACTCCTTTTCTTTCTGCTAACATAGTTACACCATGGTAGTTAAAGTGTGTTTTTAAACTAGTTAAAGCAATCCAATCCCCTGTGTGCATGCTTTTAAATGGGTTTAAAACTGCCTTATATTGATTTAGCTTAATTTAGTAAGGAATTAGTTTAAGCTGAGTGACCTATATGCCAAAACAGCTAGACAAGTTTTTCTCATTTGGGATGTGTTTTTTGTTTTGTTTTTTTCGAGTTGGACTTGAGTTAGAAGTTAAATTGCTGGGTCTTAGACTACAGTGAATTTTTACAGCTGAGTTATAACCCATCTAAAATAGTGGTTGATAATAAAACCATTGACACGACTGTAACTATGGAATTCTAAAATGTGTCCCTATGATTAAACCACTTCCAAGAAAAAACCACTGGAAGCTTTTTCATTGCTATGTGATAGACTGCAAGCAGGCCACCATAGGCTCTGCAGCAGGTGCTGTATCGAACTGTAAATAGCACAATTAGCAGTTGCTTTCTGACTGATTCCAGAGGGAGGCCTCAGTGTACCATAAAAGCAATATGAGCATGACTTTCCATCAGCCAGTTGAGTGCTTCAACCAGAAGTAAGGGTGAAAGGTGTCCCTATGCAGAGGGCCAGCTTAAGGCCTATGCACTTCATAAGTCCTCAGAACATCATTTAAGGATAGTGAAAGCACAAGACTGGAAGTCAGGAAATCATCTCAGCTCTGCCACTGAATCACTGTGTGACCTTGGAGCAAAGTCACTACACATCTTTGTGTCAGTTTCCCTGTCTGTAAAAGGGCGGTGGTGGTGGTGGTGGGGTAGTGATACTTACCTCCCAAGGGTGTTGCAAGGATTAATTCATTAACGTTTGCATAGTAACTCGCACGATAGGGTGCTTATCTCAGTTGGTTGATTCTAGATGATATAATACAAATAATAAACAATAACAAGGATGAGATTTCAATCCGCATATTGGTTTCATGTGTTGGTGTGTTTGGTGAGTTCCCCATTCTTTTGTGGTGTTTAGCAATTGCTGTCAGAGCTTGCGGTGGCTGGTCTAGAGTCTTATCTAAAAGGGAATCAAACAAATAACACAGAGAACTCTCTTCCCTTGGATCCAGTACTTACCAGTCATGATTCTGGCATAAGAACGGACATACTGGGTCAGACAAATGGTCCATCCAGCCCGGTATCCTGTCTTCCGACAGTGGCCGGTGCCAGATGCTTCCGAGGCAATGAACAGAACAGGGCAGTTATCTAGTGATCTAGCAGTCAGAAGCTTAGGGACACCCGCAGCATGGAGTTCATCTTTGACCATCTTGGCTAATAGCCCATTGATGGACCTGTCCTTTATGAACTTGGTTAATTATTTTTTGAACCCAGTTGTAGTTTTGGCTTTCACAACATCCCCTGGCAATGAGTTCCATAGATTAACTTTGCAGTCTATGCAGCAGTACTTCCTTTTGTTTGTTTTAATCCTGCTGCCTATTAATTTCATTGGATAACGACTGGTTCTTGTGTTATGTGAAGGGGTAAATACCACTTCCTTATTCACTTTCTTCCCACCAGTCATGATTTTACAGACCTCTGTCATATCCCCTCTTAGTCACCTCTTTTCCAAACTGAACAGTTCTAGCCTTTTTAATTTCTCCTCATATGGAAGCTGTTCCATACCCATAATCATTTTTGTTTTCCTTCTCTGTACTTTTTCTAATGGATCTTTTTTGAAATGGAGCAACAAGAACTGCACACACTATTCAAGGGGTGGGTGTATCATGCATTTATGTATTGGGATTATGATATTTTCTGTTTTATTATCTAGCCCTTTCCTAATGGTTCCTAACGTTCTGTTAGCCTTTTCAGCTGTCACTGCACACTGAACAGATGTTTTCAGAGAATTATCCACAATGACTCTAAGATCTGTTTCTTGAGTGGTAACAGCTAATTTAGACCCTATCATTTTGTATGTAGCGTTGGGAATATGTTTCCAGTGTGCATTACTTTGCATTTATCAATGCTGAATTTCATCTGCTATTTTGTTGCCCAGTCATCCAGTTTTGCGAGATCCCTTTGTAACTCTTTGCAGACTGCTTTGGACTTAACTATCTTGAGTAATTTTGTATTGTCTGCAAACTTTGCCACCTCACTGTATACCCCATTTTCCAGATCATTTATGAATATACTGAACAGCACTGGTCCCAGTACAGATCCTTGGGGGACCTTGCTATTTACTTCTCTCCACTGTGAAAACTGACCATTTATTCCTACCCTGTGTTCCCTATCTTTTAACCAGCTACTTATCCCTGAGAGGACCTTTCCTCTTATCCCATGACTGCTTACTTTGCTTAAGAGCCTTTGGTGAAGGACCTTGCCAAAGGCATTCCAAGTACATAGGTACATAGGGTCAGGTTTTCGAGAGCTCAGAACACATTGTGACACTTGGGGGCAGATTTTGAGAGCTCAGTATGCTGAGTGCATGTTGGGAGCTGAGCTCTCTGGAAAACCTGACCATTTGTTTTGGGCACTGAACTCTTCTAACCGTCTGGCCCCGATCATAGATGACAAATGTTTTTGAAAATCTGGCTTTTGTGCTCAGCAGGTGCTACTTCGCTATAGGTAATTGTGTAGAGTCCTGTTAGCACTGATAAGCCACCGTCTTACTTGGGCTGTCAATAGTTAATTTTCTCATTTAGTGTAAGTTTAGCTTAGCATTACTGATTGTAGCATTTTGTGCCGGGAAGGGCTTGTTGGATTGGTTTTCTGTAGCTTCACTGTGGCTACTCTGGCTCCTTAGCCTGGGGTAAGGGTTTTCCCTTTGTCTTGCAGTCTGGTGGTTTTAGCTGAGGTACCGTTCTTGATCTTTGAAGAAGGTAATTTCATGCTGGAGCAAATTTGGGGGTGGAGAATTTATTCACAATGCAATCAGTGTGACCAGTAATTCTGTGTAATCCCCCTTTTCTCCTTGCACCTCCACGCTCTGTGCATTTATGTAGGGGCAGACCTCAATCTCGTCCTAATGTGAGTGTGTGCATTTTCTGTACTCGCCACCTACACAGTAGTATCACTTTAAAATCAGATGCATCCTCTACTGGGGGAGGCTATATCTTGCCCTTGCAGTGTAGTAGACTCTGATTTCATAGAGCTTGAAGAGCCTAGTTCAACAGCAGTGGTTGTGTTCAGCCAGCAGCTGTTCTGCAGGGAGCCAGACCACTTGCCTTCAGAATCCTCCTTGAAAGGGAGGAGATCATGGCTACGTATAGCCTCTGTGTGGCAGTGAAGTTGATGGAGGTGTGGTCTAGGGAGCTACCAGTGCTGGGGACCTGAATGATCTTCGGAGGGACAGGCCTTTCGGGTGAAATGTCCTGGAACATGCTGACTCATGAGCGATTTATCACCTGCTTCTGTGACTGAGGGGAGGGGAAGAAAGTTCTTCTGGCTGATGCACTGGATGGGGAGTCAAGAGAACTGAGTTCTATTCTTGGCACAGCCACCGACTCACTGTGTAGCTGGGCAAATCAAAGCACCTCTCTATGCCTCAGTTTCCCCCTCTGTTACACAGAAATAACAATACCTGTAGTACCTACCTCACAATGGTGTTGTGGGGTATAATTCATCAACCCTGGAATTCTTTGGACTTGTTAGGCTGTAGAAGTGCAAAGTGTTATCACACCACTGTCAAAGGGGTAGTGTGGTCCAGTGGGTAGGGCGGTGCACTGGGACCCAGGAGATCCAGCTTGTAGCCACTGACCTGCTGGGTGACTCTGGGTGAATCCTTTCACCTCTCTGTGGCTCTGTTCCCCCTCCAACCCTTGTCTGTTTCAGCTATAAACTCTTCCAGGCACTCTTACTCTGGCTGCCTAGCAAATGCTGATGATGACATGGAGAGGGTCAGGCAGAGAACTCTGATCCTTAACGCCTGCTGTTTGAAATGTTCACTTGTGATCAAAGTCTGTGATTCTCTCTTTTCCCCTCTCCCTCGCCACAGTAAATGGAGTTCCTTGGCCTCAGGAAGCAACCAGACGCAGCAGCCATACCTTCAGCTGCCGGATGCTGATCCGCCCCCCCTGATGAGCTGGGTGCGGAGAACCAGGAGGCTCGCCAGCGCTATGAGGTGATGCAGTGCTTCACCGTGTCCCAGCCCAAATCAATCAAAGAGGAAGGAGAAGGTAGGGTAGAGGATCATTTATTTCAAACCCTGCTTGATTGCTTTGTACTGCGTCTTGGGGAAGGGAAGGAGGCTGGAGTGGGAAGATTTCAGAGGAACAGCCGTGTTAGTCTGTATTCGCAAAAAGAAAAGGAGGACTTGTGGCACCTTAGAGACTAACCAATTCATTTGAGCATGAGCTTTCAGCTGTAGCTCACGAAAGCTCATGCTCAAATAAATTGGTTAGTCTCTAAGGTGCCACAAGTCCTCCTTCTCCTTTTTGGAGTGGGAAGAGAGGACGAACTGCCCTCTACTGTCCTTATGCAGGACTTCCTTCCAGGAGATTGTAGTTCATGCTGAGAGCAGCCTCGGAGAGTTTACTTTCAGCCTGCCACGTTTGCTGTTGCATTTGGGATGGGGCTTGCAGTGCAGATGGCACAGGATCAGGTCCAGGGGCAGTCACACAAGGCCTTCTCCCCAGAGGGCCTTCCAAGGGTTTCTCCTCCCCGGCACAGCCTGGGAAGTGCAGGCGGGACAAGGGGAAACACGTTTAGAAGAGTTTGATGTTGGTCATCGGTTCTCCTCCCTCCTCTGTTTTCTATTCCAGCTTAAGCTACATTTGGCGCTTTTAAGTCCTTTCTGACCACGGTGCTGAGCCCCAGGGGTTTGCAGTGCTGCGCTGTTCAGACTCCTGGGGTGAAATGTGTGGGAAGAGCTGGCTGATATGAGGCTCTAAGCCTGTGTCAGTCTTGAAGAGAAGTCACCGGCACAAGATCTACTTGCCCTCCATAACCTGGAGGGGAATGGAAAGTGCTAGTGAAATTTAACTCGCCTGCTGAAAAATGGGCAAATCCAAAATTTTGCAAGGCTGCTTTACGCTGCCACAGGGTGACCTCCCCCTCCCGTCCCATGCAGAGCCAGGGTGAGGCCTGTGCACCATGGTGAGTGGGACTGAAGTGGGGAGCACAGGGCTCATGCCAGCCCTTTGCCCAAGGGTGAATTGCACCAACAGTGAGAGCACAATCTCCAGCTCTTACATTATCCATTTCCTGTTGTCTGGATTGATGCTGTCCAGTCAGCAAGCCTTTACCCTCTCTCCATAAGCAGAGATGGAGACAGGCTGCCCTTCCGTGCATCAGGAGAACTCGCAATGGAGCATGTTAGGTAGAAATTAAGGAAAGGGAAAGATAAATTGATTAGTATGAAAAGCTGCTTCACAGGGAGCTCTGTCACTGCAGAATAACAGTGGGAGCCCCAATCCTTGAGATGGGTAAGACTGGACTGGACTGCATGGCACAGTCCTGCCCTGATCCCCAGCGGGTGGACTTGATGCCCTTATACAGGGGCAGTCAGTAGGTGGACCACAGGTCAAATCCAGACCGCCAGACGCTTTTGAACAGACTGCAAAATCTTTTTATTTACTTCTTGTTATCATAATTGTTATTATTTTTGTCTTATTTTCTCTGGAATCTGGACCTTGACTATACCTTGACCAAGAAATTTGGACCTTGACAAAAAATAATTGATTACCCCTGCCCTAACAGGACTTCTCTAGCTCTGATTTCTGTCACTTTTACCTAGTGCCTCCAGTAGTGCCAGGAGTGTTTGACAATTGTAGTAGCCAGTGAGTTTCAGGCCCCAGTCAGATCTGTAGGGGTGCACCTCTGCCCAGGCTCCTGACGGTCAGAAGGGTCACCCTGTACAGATCCGATTGCAGGATCAGGGCCGTGGTGCGTATCCACCACTGATCTCCAAATGGTAGAGGAAAGAAGTCTTCTTGCAAAAAACCTTAACCCTCATTTCTGTGTACCAGCCGTTATTTTCCAGTGCATTAACTGAATTAATCCATTGTAGTTTACACAGGAGATCATGATTGGAAGGAATAAATTACAGTATTTTATGACCAGATACTTTCCCTGGAGCCAACAGTTGTTGGCTTTCAGTGCTGACTATTATTGTGTGGTACTTCTGAAAGGCCTTACAGTTAGTTCCTCCAAACAATGGGGTTCTTTCCTCTCCAGCAAACATCATACAGCTTATAGAGAGCCCTGTTGTTTTGAAGGCCTAGGTGACAGGCCAGGTAAAGGCATCCAGAGTAGGATGTGGCTGTCGAGTACAACAATGCTATTTTAATTAAAACATTGAATTGCAAGTGGTTTCTATAACACTGGACTCTCACTTTCCCACTCTCCCCACCCTGTTCTGTTACGGCAGATTTCCAATCTTGTCTGATATGTATTGCACGGAGATTACCTCGACCTGCAGCTGTCACCAGTTCAGAATCTTTCATGACCAAGCAAGATACTACAGGTACTGTTCTCTGTGAGCTCGGGGGAGTTTTATGCTGGGAGATGCTAAGCATTGTTCTGGGTAAGGAGCCATCTTTGCAATCAAAATGCTTCCAGGCTAACAGCATCTTTGTTCCGCTAGAACTGTAAGATGATGTAGTTCTTGCAGATGTAGCATTGTCCCAGAATTTCATCCAGCCAGTAAGATAATGCCACAGGGTGCTAAACTAAAACAGTCTGCAAGGATGGCTGGCTTGAAGCTAGCCAGCCATACTTCCCCCTTAATTAAAATGGATACTTGTATATTACACAGTTTTGAAGAGGGTAGTGAAGTTTCAATACGAAACTGGTGAACAGATGAGAAATGCTCTATTTCTGGTGCGTCCCCTAGGTATTCATGAATGAGACAAGTTGCAATGTGTGCATGTTCGTCTCTTATTGTTCTCTTCATGTCCACAGTCAGTCAGTCATTTAGTAAAGCTGCCTGGATTTCAGTATCCTCAATAGGTAGATAACTCCTTGGGCGTATATTTCATTTTTTTGATCTGTGTAAGGACATCCCTAGTATTATCGCTGATTGCCTGGCTGATGTCAAGTTGGATGCATCTGGATTTTGTGATGCTGAATTTAGACTAGAGAGAGGTCTTTTTGATGAGGGTAACATGCAAATGTCCTTATTAATGATCTTTTGGGGCCTCCCTACTATGTTACTCCAACTTTATGCCAGTATAACCTCGGCAAGGCTCAGCCCACTGTACATACTTTGAGTATAGCTTCTAATTTTAGTTGTGAAAGCTCATTTCAAAACAAAGTATGTGCACGCCTCTAGCTCTGTGTGTACCTATATACACATGCCACACCGGGAGGATAAGAGTGAGAGCAGTATAAGTGACTTCTTTTGCACTGCTTCTGTATCTGAATAATGTGAATTTTCTTTCCACCCAGGTAAAATTATCTCCATTGACACCAGTTCCCTGAGAGCCGCAGGCAGGACTGGCTGGGAGGATTTAGTGCGGAAGTGCATCTATGCTTTCTTCCAGCCTCAGGGCAGAGAGCCATCTTATGCCAAACAGCTATTTCAAGAAGGTAACAGACTTCTCTCTTTGCTGTACTTTGCCTTGCATATTGAGCTGGGGTGGCTTCAATCAGAAGCTGATGCATAACCCTTGTTGCTGGATAAGTGCTTTCTGGAAAAAGGGAATTCTGCATGAATAATAAAGTGCCAATGAAGTAGCAGAAAAGGCTCAGTAGCACAGAAATGGCTCCTGCAACTGGAGAGGCTGGGTGTGGATCTCACAGCATTCAACAAACTACCATTCAGATCCCAGCACTGCTACAGTAACTTGCTTAGGGGATATGATTGGCCCAAAACTCATGTATGTCATGCCAGGCTAGAGGTTTGTTCACACCCTTCTGTAAATAAAGAAATGAGTCAAACTTCCAAAGACCGACTGTGGTCACTGCACTGAAACCAGAGGGTGATTTTTTTCCTCCCACACTCCATGCATACATCAGCCCCAGTGTCAAAGTCCCATGACTGATCTTCAAGCTCTCCTCCTTTTCGGTAGTTTTTTTTAGCAGGGTTTTCCTCTGATCATGGTAGTGATTTAAGATATTGTTCCCTCTGGGGCTTTGTCATGGAAGCTTGATGCACTGTTGGTGAGGACACTAACAAAGGAAATCAGGAAGACAGAATGTTGCATAGGGAGATTGGCTGAGCATCGAGAAAGATTTAATTCTCCCAGTGCTGCCGTGGTTAGTATCCTGTTGCAGCTCTCAATACCTGGCTTGGATTCATCAGGGTACACTGAGTATGTACTGTACACTGGTGATAGAATAATTGCCCTTTCTGCTGCTATAGCACTGTATGTTCAAGGACGGTGCTTAATTGATTTAAATAGGAGTACATTGATAAGGCAATCAGTTACAGCGCAGACATTCCTGGCTCACATTGTGCCCCATGTCCCTGCCCACAACAAGCAGCATTGAGAAGTTAACTTGCATCACACCACCCTTCAGATCTTCCTGAAACACCCGCTGCAACTGTGGGGACCAGATCTCCCAGTTTTATAGGGACAGTCCCAATATTGTGGGCTTTGTCTTATATAGGTGCCTATGACCTATAGGATGGCCCAGATAATACTGAGTCCTGCCATGAGTGCAGGGGACTGGACTAGATGACCTCTCGAGGTCCCTTCCAGTCCTATGATTATCCCCCTGCCACCTGTCCTGATTTTTCACACTTGCTATCTGGTCACCCTAGCTGCAATACACTGGGTTAGTGCAGCTGAAAATGGTGATGTGACCGTGATAAGGCAGTGAAGAACAGAGGAGAGAGACTACCTGGATTGCCATAACTTCACTTGAGGATTATTTTTGACTTGCATTGTTTTTGCACACTAACGGTGGGATCTTTGGGGACTGGCTAAAATACACAGAGCGCAATTGGGTGGAGGGGGAGAAGGGGAAGGTGCAAAGGTGGTTGCAAACTCTGTGTTGCTATCCTTGCGTGCACACAGATGGATGGTGGAAGTCAATCCCCTACTACCTTCACCACCATCCCGCACCCCCCACATCCCTTCTCAAAGGTTTTGTGAGCCCTATCTGAATTGCTAAGCAGATGGATGGATCACGTCTGGTTTGTTTCCCTCCCCCCTCTCCAGTGATGACGCGTGGCACGGCCTTCAGTCCATCGTACAGATTCACGCTGAGCGACGGGACGGTACTTAGCGCCCACACCAAGTGTAAGCTCTGCTATCCTCAAAGCCCAGAAATGCAGCCTTTCATCATGGGCATCCATATCATTGACAGGTGAGTCCTAAGAACTTGGGGTGAAATCGCTGCTAGCTCGCGACTTGTCCTGGATCCTCAGCTGTAGCTGAGGAGTTCACAGCACAGCTCAGGAGTAGGAGTAGTCTGGAGGTTGCTGTAAGCTAGACCAGCTGCCAACGGTGTGTAGGAGCCTATAAGTGCGGTCAGAGATCAGTGTCAGCTGCGGGGATGGTGGCGTCTTAGGAGTCACATTGCTGGTTCTATGCCAGTGGCGGCTGGGGTGATCCTCTCACGCTGGTTTTGGGAGTGCAATTCCACAGTGAGGTGCTGCGTTGGGGGATCTTAGTCCATATGTTTGAAAGCCAAGGCAGCAAAAGTTCACTAAAGTTTGGCTATTTCTGTGGCTTCGCAGTTGTATCTGATGCTTATGCAGCTCCATGAATTCACACGGCACTTTACCAACATGGCGAAGGCTCATGCCCTGCCCCAGAGAACTTGCACTCAAACTCGTTCAGGAGGAAGAGGTTGTTATAGAACAGGAAAGATGGGGGAACTTACTGTGTGTTAAAGAAATGCAACCAGATGGAGGAGGGCAAAGAATTGTATTCTCTTAGCACTCTCCTCTCCCTACCAATGCGAGAATACACAGCCCAAAGTAGACCTTCCCCTCTGAGATAGATTTGTAGCTCCTCAGTTGCCACAGTGCTGCACAATCCACTAAATACCTACAGAGAGCAATGTAGCTGCTCCATCCACAAATGCTACTGAAATATGCTCTCTGTCCTCCTGGGACCCTAGGGTAGTGGTGGGGCTAAGATAGTGTGTGAAAACACCATATCGTACAAGCTGCAGCTGTCAGACTTACCAGGCCTGATGGGTCTATGTGATAGCTTAATCCCAAAGACGCTGGAAAGGTTTAGTTGAGCTGTACTACAGATTTAGTTGAGTCATCTTCTGAGTTGTGTCTCCCCACCACCCAGCCTCTCTGTCGTTTTTTCTTTCTTCCAGGGATCACCACATGCTCTCTCCTCAAGAGAACACTAACTCTGGAATGCCCCTTCCCCGTGTCAGCCCTGCGCTGAACCCCAGCATCTCCCCAGGGCAAGGCATGGCTCTCTCGTCTGCCATCCCTCCATCCAACAGCGGCATGTTGGCGACCAGTGTAAATCAGCAGCCAGGCTCTGGCCTCCATAGCAGCAATTCCAGCACCGGCCAGACGAGCTTTGGGTGTTCACCTGGGAATCAGATCGGAGCCAATGTTGCCTTAAGCCAGGGACAAGCTGGTCCCCAGAACAATAACCACCTTTTAAACCTCAATAGCTCCCCCTTGAATAGTCCAGGGATTACCCCAGCACAGTTCATGTCTCCTAGGCATCGGGTTAGCCCAGGATTGGTACCAAGGCCCAGAATGCCAAGCAATCCTTTCTCTCCTACCATGCCTACCATGCACTCTCCTGTGGGCATGGCAAGCGGTGGCTGCAGCAGCGGTGGCAGCAGCAACAGGCCTTTCCCCAGTGCCCCAATAAACTCTATGCAGGGGCTTAATGAAGGCCCCAGCACCCCCATGGGCTACTCCACGCCACCTCCCATTCTGAGGCAGCCGAGCTCCCAGAACTCGCCTGGCCGGCTCAGCATGCAGCCTGTGAAAACGGAGCCGAAAGACAGCAAGGAGATTACCTCCATCCTGAGCGAGATGATTCAGTCTGACAGTGGCTCGAGCGATGGCAAGCCACTGGACTCAGGCCTGCTACATGCCAGTGACAGACTCGCGGAGGGAGACACCAAGTGCTCCCAAGCTACCAGCCACAAGCTGGTTCAGCTCCTGGCCACAACGGCAGAACAACAGCTGCGGCATGCTGATGCAGACACTAGCTGCAAAGATCCCTTATCCTGCACAGGTGCCTCTGGGAACCCTCCAGGCAATGCGTGTCCCTCTTCCCATAGCTCCCTCACAGAGCGGCACAAGATCTTACACCGTCTCTTGCAGGAGGGCAGCCCCTCCGACATCACCACTCTGTCCATGGAGCACGACAAGAAGGATACTGCGCCAAATGCTGCCGCCACCCCTACCTCTCAGAGTCAGATCCCGGGGACCCCTGAAATCAAACTGGAGCCAGAGGCCTTGAAGAAAAAGGAGTCCAAGGACCATCAGCTCCTACGCTACCTACTAGACAAGGATGAGAAGGACCTTGCCGCAGTCCCGGCCCTGAGTCTGGACGACGTGAAGGTGAAAGTGGAGAAAACGGAGCAGATGGATCCGTGCAATACGACTCCGGCCCAGCTGACCAAGCCCCCTGCCGCAGAGGAGGTAAAGCTAGAGTCGCAGGGCCAGGTGGGTTTTCCCTTTAGAATCCATGCTGTGTATCTAGGGTTAGCATTTAACACCAGTTAAGTTAAAGGAGAATCTCTTTTAGCACATAGTGATCTGAGGCCTATGAGAGAGACAGACAGACAGACACACACCCCTTAGCAGTTCTCCTTCGATTTATGGAGCTATAGCCCAGTGCGTGGTCTCGGGTTTTGCTGCTTCACAAACACTGGTAGTGGCATGACCGGTTCCAAGACTAACTTGCCAGCTGGGGTGTTAAAAGTAGATCTCTAAATGACCCCGAACTGTAATTAGACTCCTAAATGATCATGTGAGCAGTTAGGTGCCTAAATGTAGACCCTCAGGGAGCCACTTTGAAACTTCTTGTTGCTCATGCACACGCTCTGAGGAGCAGCAATGATGGGAGAGAAAAGAAAGCTTAATGGAGGTTTATCACAATACGATGGAACATGATGCATTGATTCTTCAAACGCTGAGAGGAGAGAAGCCATTTGTAGGACATTTCTGCATTGCCGAGGGGAAAAACTCTTCGTATCCAGCATCTGTAAGCCTATTCAGGGCTTATGTACTGGGGAATTTTCAATCTGTTGCCTACTTGTTGGCTGAGATTAGCAATTATAAGGGCCCTTTAGTTATCCTAAAAGTATTATTAAATTGAATAATCCAGTGACAGATCCCAGTGATAGAGTTTTGAGAGTATAGATATTCATTACAAGTGGCTATGAATAGAAGAGATTTCTTATTTTTGAAAGCCAGGGGAGATGGTAACATGGATAAAACTGCTTAATCCTTTTTAAACAAAGAGTACAGAGAGTCTGACATTAAGAGCATGCCTGTTAGCCTGCTTACTGACTGTGTCAAACAGGGCTGCTGGGTTGGGAAGATATTGCATGAATAACACAGAATGCTCTGAAAGCCTCAAATGGCAAATACACAAGAAGCCTCTTAATAAGGTTAAGAGCTCCATTCATTTGGGAGCCTCAGTCAGTTATCCCATCAGCAAGTGGGAATCTAACTAACTCTTTCCACCTTACTATAAAACATTCCTACTGGTATCACTCACACCTTAGATACATTAGATATTTCTCCTTCCATTCAGGCTCAGCTGTCTAGATTAACATAAATTGCCTCTAGACCAGGGAAGACACAGATTAAGATATATCTGTTTTGGAAAGAACAATGGAGCTTTGAGCTGGTGACTGGACATCATACAGCTTTGTGCAACTAGCTACTTTGTCCAGGAATGTTAGAGAGTTGGGGGGTGCAATCTGCCCCTCCCTAGGGTTTTGTATAGCACTTACCACTGTAATATCTGCAGAAAGGAAAACATCTTGCTACAGTCATGTTGAAAGTTATGCAGGTTACGCACAAATAGGAGCAACTGAAATGCACAGCTGCTCGTTTTTCTGGCATTCTGGCCCTGTTATATTTCACACGCAGCCTGATACTCCTTTGACCTGGTTATGACAACAGGCTATCTCACCGCCCAGCAGAGTTTGCTTATCAACACCATTGCACTGCCTGATTGTGTTAATATCAGGCCTTCTGGGAAAATAAAAGCATAGAGCCCAAGTTGCAACAACCTGGTTACAAGAAGAGAGCTGTGTGCCAGATTCGTCTGCTGATGGGACAACACTCTTAGCTCCCACAGTTACTAGTAGAGTAATAACTTTTTTGCATGTGAGCAACCAACCATGTTTAGAGTCAGCTGTGATGCTCACTGTTACAAACTCAGTTAAAAGCTGGTGTACAGAGAGGGACTCTATATCTATGGGAAGGAGGACCCAGGATCGCACCCCACAGTGAAAACTGGTTTGTCTGCTTTGTTTTCTTGCCCTGAGACCAGCAGTTCAGGGGTGAGATTGAGCTGCCACGCTTATCTGCATATCTCTGCCAGGCCACTCTGTGTTGTATAATTCATGCTGTTGGTTAAAAAAAAAAAAAAAAAAGTGTTTGGTCCTAGTTGTCTTCCAAATGACTGCAGTGTTACGCGCCCTAGCCTGCGTACACACGTCTGAAACAATAGCTCTGAGAGGCATGAATTGCCCCCTTTAGTAACAGTTTGTTGTCAGCTCTGGAGTCTAATGGGGTGTGTGCTTTTCAGAAACCTGAGGTCTGTACATGCACACGTGGGACTACTTTGTGGATGAAGTTATGGGTGCTGTGTGTGAAGACTGGCCATGTGTGCATGATTGGAGCTTACTGAGCAGTTTGTATGTACAAACGGATAGTTAGCATTTATATTCGTGGTAAACAGACCCCTGGTCTCAACAGCTTGATAACAAGGCCCTTCATAGGAACTTCATCTGTTTCACTGCTGCTGATCCTTACCGCAGACGCATCCAGGCACTCCAGTATTGTGGGCAGCGATTAAGCTATCAGCACTGTCTCCATCCATTCTGGCTCCAGAGCAGCATTGTTTAGCAGCACAGTGTATGGAAGATTCCTTCCATACGAAAAGACCAGGCCTGCCCTGGTTTAGAGGATTCTGCTTGCTTTCCTGCAGTTCCCAGGCATGGAGCTGCCAGTTCCTTTGATAAACAATTTAGAAAGGTAGTTGCAACATTTTTTAAGGGGGGTAGAAACACTGGGCGACTAAGGGCATAATTAAGCCCCTTCTGTAACTAAGAAGGGATTCTCCTGACTTACTTTATTTGCTGTTTGCTAACAGTGCACTCGGCCCGGGACTGAGCAAAGAGCTGAGCTGGGCCGAGGGATTTCAGGGACTCGTAATCTGAATGTGTTTGTAGGGCTCCCCATAGCCTTTGGAATCGACCTAATATTCCTATCCTAGCAAGTGACTTTTCTTCTCTGTGCATCTTCCCAAAGACGACGGGACTGCCAGGTTTTTATAATGACCAGAATGACCCTCTCCAAAGAGTTAAGGAAGAGGGGTTTTAGAACCCTAAAATGCCTACTTGTTAGCAGATTGCAACTCTTTGACTCCACAGCATCCAAGGAGAGAGTCCAGTGTCCAAATTTCTTCAGCTACCCAAACCATTTCGGTGAGGTTTCAGTTTATTTTTATGCTCTGTCACTAAAAATAAAACACCACCTAGATCTTGAATCCAACCTTCATTTTAGCTGTTGTGCTTGTGACTAGTCTACGAACCTGACACTGGAGTGGGAGAGTTTTATAATCCTGGGACTCATTAAAGGACAGTGCATCAGCTTCAGTCCTTATTCTCATTTTGTAACTAGCCTATAAGGATGCTACAAGCCTTGGATGACCAAAACATTGAGCCACACACTTGATGGCCTGTGGAACTACTTGCTACATGATATCACAAAGAACAAGAAGTTCAATAGGATTCAAAAAAGGATTAGATATTTATATGGATTCTAACAGGAGTTAAAATGGTTAATAGTAAAAAACAAAAACTAAAAACAAACAAAAAAAAACCTCCAACCCTCCTGCTTCGAGGCATGAGCCAAACACTAACTAAAGGGAATGAAGAAAAAACATTCCCTGGGGGGAGGTTATCCAATAATTGCCCTATTTACTGGGTTTTTGTGCCTTCCTCTGCCGCAGTTGACAGTGGCACCTGTCAGACAGTATTGCCAATCCCATGCATTAAAAAAAATCATGAAGTCGGTCTCCCAAAATCATGAGATTGGCTTAAAAATTATGAGGTTTTAAAAATACTAGATTTTATCTTCTTTTCATTTGCCTTCTGGTTTCTGAGCCTTTAAATTGCACTTGGATCATATTTCCTGACTTTCCTGCACAACCAGAGGGGCTAAAATCTTACTTTAAAAAGTAGAAGAAGAAAGCTGAGCATCTCATGGAATCCGCTGCTTCCAGGAGCCGAGACTTTGTGAAAGATTCTAAATACTGTATTGTGAGACTCATGATAAAATTACAAGCCTGGGAGACAGGGCCCTGAACTAGAGCTATTGGTCTGACCCTGCATGGCAATGTGTGTTCCTTCCTAGACAATAGTCTTGTCTTGAGTCGCTTCTCTAAAGGAGATCTTTTTTTGCTTTGCAAAGCTGCCTTACTCCAGACTGTGCCTTTCTGTGACATATATAATAAGTAGCAGGGTGCTCTGCCATCTCCACTATTGCATGAGGTTGCCACTTAGCTTTATACCACAATTCTCAGATACTTGTGCTTGCTGATTTTATTGTTTTTTCATTCGTGCATCTTAGGGATAGTGGTAGCATGACAAATGGAAATGAGGATATATGGAGGTAGATATTACCATATCTGAGGTAGAAGCGAAACTCAAACAGCTTAATGGGACTAAATCGGGGGGCCTAGATAATCTTCATCCAAGAATATTAAAGGAATTGGCATCCGAAATTGCAAGCCCATTAGCAAGAATTTTTAATGAATCTGTGAACTCAGGAGTTGTACCGTATGATTGGAGAATTGCTAACATCGTTCCTATTTTTAAGAAAGGGAAAAAAAGTGATCCGGGTAACTACAGGCCTGTTAGTTTGACATCTGTAGCATGCAAGGTCTTGGAAAAAAATTTGAAGGAGAAAGTAGTTAAGGACATTGAAGTCAATGGTAGATGGGACAAAATACAACATGGTTTTACAAAAGGTAGATCGTGCCAAAGCAACCTGATCTCCTTCTTTGAGAAAGTAACAGATTTTTTAGACAAAGGAAACGCAGTGGATCTAATTTACCTAGTTTCAGTAAGGCGTTTGATACCGTGCCACATGCGGAATTATTAGTTAAATTGGAAAAGATGGGGCTCAATATGAACATTGAAAGGTGGATAAGGAATTGGTTAGCAGGGAGACTACAACGGGTCCTACTGAAAGGTGAACTGTCAGGCTGGAGGGAGGTTACCAGTGGAGTTCCTCAAGGATCAGTTTTGGGACCAGTTTTATTTAATTTTTTTATTACTGACCTCGGCACAAAAAGTGGGAGTGTGCTAATAAAGTTTGCGGATGATACAAAACTGGGAGGTATTGCCAATTTAGAGAAGGACCGGGATATCCTACAGGAGGATCTGGATGACCTTGTAAACTGGAGTAATGGTAATAGG